AAGATCTACTTCACGTTCTATTAGCAAACTCATTCGTCAACTTAATGTTTCAGAATCTCCGTTATTAGCTCCGTTTATAGAATAAAATTTTCGAGAAAATTTCTTACTAAAATAGAATAAATACAAAGTAAAAATTTTTTAATAAATCCTGTTTTAGATTTATCAAAAAATTATTTTTCAGGAAACTATTGTTGAACAATTGATGAAAATTGATGTTCAACGATGAATAATAGCAAATTATACTCAGACGTTTCCACGAGGATATTACGTCTAAATAGCAGTTATTCACTCAGGATTCAGCCCCCCTTTGAGTAATCAGAGCTTTATTGTAGCAAAGCCTACAAACGACGTGGGTTATGATCGCTTTATTACACTTCAGTGTGAGGTAATCCATCGTAAATCCGATAGCAGCATTCTGAATACAGATCTGTTCAAATTAGGCGATCAAAGATCTCTGATTCCACGCGTCATTCACTCGAACCGAACAGAGGAAAACACGTAAAATCGAAAAGCTATCAAAGCGATTCATCCTAGTCTGATTCACGACTCACGATGGCCGACGTTACGTTCGATGACAAATTTGTTTTCATCCCTCAAGAATTTTACGAGCGTATTCGTCTCCGAACGATCTTCGAACTTCGATCTCCCAAAGTATTATAAACTTCACCCTCACTCCTCAAATATTTAAACAATAATTTTACGTATTCAATGCCCTTTCATCGATTGTTAAATACTTCAAAATAATTCAGCAGTGATTCGAAGAAATATGAAATGAACGGATCAACCTGAACAATGAAAATTGAAAAAAGATTTCCACCTCTTGTTTCGTTATTTCCATCAATTACGATTTCCCTCGTCGTTAACAGCATCGAGAGCAATTTGCGGGTGGAAATTACACGATGTTCGAATTTTAATTGGTTGAACTTTAAGGATTGTTAAGAGCAAAAATTAATTTGCTTCGCTAAGAAACTTGGAACAGGATTTCCAGGGAAATAGAACACATCAATGAATAATCAGAAGTCTCTAATTTTTTTGAAATACAAATACCTAAGCAAAATAGATGAATAAACATTAAATTATAGAATTATTTAAACAAACATTTAGTTCTTTCAAGATCTAAACAGTCCAAGCACACTGGAATACACTCAATAGACATTTTAAGTAGTATAAGTCAATGGTTTGTCAGACGTGCACTTAAAATAAGAGATTCAGTCAGTGATAAGTATTAAATTCGCTCAATATGGAATTTGATAATATAGATATTTGATAAAAATGGGAAAAATTGAAAATAAAATGACTAAAAGAAGAAGTCACTCGGGCTGACGATTTTCTCAAGTCCACTCTGGACTATCTTTTCACGAAGAGTCCACAGCCGACGAACGCACACACGTGTTCTCATTAAACTGAACACACGCTATTAAAAATGAAGACTGCGGACGCTGGACCGCACGTCTTTAAGTTCCTTTTTCTTGAAACACCAGGCTCGAGAATGCTCGAGAAAGCCCACGATCCCGCACCCACTCCTCCCATTATATTTTTATGACACCACCAACACGAAAATTGCTCGTTGCTTCAATGAAACGATTTCGGTTAACGCGAATCTAACAAAAAATTTTACTTTGATATTAAGAAATTATATCTCGTGCGATTCAATTCTCTCTCACGTAATTTACACCTTGCACCTTCCGCGAGGTATCTAAATTCAAATTCAGATTTTCCAGACAATTTCACCGGCTGCAAAATGCTCAAATAATTCGTGGAAAGGTACCCGTTACTTAAGTCTGGAATTCCGGGATAGTTTCATCGTGGTCGAGCTGCTTCCTTTGCGCAGCAAACTCACCGGAAGTTTATCACCGTTGGTCAGTATTTTCAACTATTCTATTTTTCCTACCGACTCGAATTCTTCCTTAACCACAAAAGCTCTGGTAACTTAAAAAATTTTATTACAAAAGCTGACATTAAATAGTGAAATTGATGTTATCTTTAAGAAACAAGTTTCTTCGACACTAATTTTTAATTAGAAAGGGGTGAAAAAGAGTTCCTATTTCCCTAAATTTTACTTCTAAAAATCTACCAGTGTCCCGAAAAATCTCTGTCATAAATAAATGCTGCAGTGTTCCGAACAAAAAACAATATGCAGCTTAGAAAACAACACCTTTCTAGGCAGAACGAACGAATAACAGAAGGATAGACTTTAACACTTTCAACGAGAAGATCTGGGTCAACGAAGATCGACGATCTTTCACGGCTATCTCGAGAACGATTCTCGTGGATTTTTTTTTTTTTTTCAGAAGCATGCTGCCACCCCGGCTCGACCTTTCATCGAAATTAACCACGTCGAAAGCTCGCCAGGAAAGGGATGTATCGAACGGCCTGCTCGACTGTATGCATATCTTCGTATTGACGTCGCGACACGGCCTTAAAAATATTATATCCTCCTCGGTCTATATTGTAACCCCTTTGAGCCCGTGTAATCCCCCCTCGTAAACTATTCGAACCAAACAAGACTCTTACAGTTGATTTAGGTTGAAAGTTGTATAATTTTGTTGCATAACTCGGAGGATATTATGGGCATCCGCCACAAAGACGTGGTTTTTGTTCTTTGACGCTAGCTTATTTCATTTAGAAGAATACCGTTTGATATTAAAATTATAATATAGAATTTTTGTAAAGGAATAGTATCCAATTTTTCTGTTATTTGATTATTCCACTTAGAATTTAAGAAACGGTAATCCTGTGAACTTTCAATCATAATTCTTTCAGTAATCCCTTTCACGACCATCAAAGTGTTAATATAAATTCATAAGACCTTTGCCACGTATCCATAATAGGATTATAAAAATATACCGTGAACTATGTGTTCAAAGGAAGGAATAGTTCAGCTTGGAACTAAAAATGTCAAATCAATTTTTATAAGAACCCTTGGAAAGCCGAATAGAATCAAAATTTATCGATCAATCGTGATTTCCTCAACTATGACGTCTTAAAGCATTTCTAGTCTTCGGATTCTAGCATTCTCAGCACGGAATAGTCGTATTTTTCTCTTAAACAGAATATCAGGGCGAAAGTGGTGTCTACTTGTTCGCGATCTTTCTGAACTGACCCCGTACAATGCGACGCTTTAACGCTGACGTTTCTCTTTCTACGCAGCCAGGCAATCAGGTAATGGAGACTCTTGAAAGGCATCGCGTGTGTTATTTTTTTCCCCATCGGTCTTTCTCCCGCACCCCTCGTCCCCGGTCTGCATCTAATAAGGGGATGAATATGAAGTCGCTGCACCCCTACTTCAGCGAACTATGATCCACAGGCCAACACTTCAGGCCAGGAATTTCTCTATTCGGAGAGGTAATAAAGCGATATGACGTCATAAATATGCTGGCTACATCGTCGCGAACCTTTATCACTTTATTACCACCATCGTCTTGGCCCGAGAGACTCTTCCATAGAAATCAGTACCATTAAACACTGATACAATCCCTCTTCCACCCATTTGTAGATATTCCAAATAATATTGTACGTAGTTCTTAAAACTTGATTTGCAAATTTACAAATTAATTTAATATGTTATAAAATATTTGTGCCAATTTTTCGGCTGTTCGCGATCGAGAAATTCCTAGTTTCAGAGCCGTAGCCTGGTTAGTTCGCGTCCCCCTGTCTCTCCCTCTCGCGTTCCAACCCTCCCGATTTCGCAATGTGGGACAGCCGAAAATTCAGTTAGACCCGCCCCTATCCGCTCGCTACGCGACTAATTCGATTAGGCCGTAAACTTCAGCTTGGAAATAATGCTATTCATTAGGGAGCGAACTCGACGATTCGCTGAAGCGTTTCGCGGATCGTCGTGGTCGACGTTTCCAGAGATTATCGCCCTTGTCGATTACAGACTAAGGGAATCCCTTTCGATCGAAACGTTTCCAATAACGTTTCCTGAAGAAAATTTTCGATACATTCACCAACAGCGGTGAAAATTATTTTTATTATACAACGTGATCAGTGTCAACGTTGTTCATTTCGTAAAACAGCGAGCGATTAAGAAGGAAATTTAACTGACGATGATCCTCGGCTGAAAATCAAATTACCCAGCCGACAGGGAATCAATTAATGCACAGTATTTAACAATAATGATAGGCTGATCGAAACGGTTAATGGACCGTAATGGATTATGGACGATTTAATCGAATATCACGGTTGAAAGTGTTACGTACTCGATGCGTATTGTCAATCAATATGTAATAAGTAGCTTTCGAAATATTGATAATAATGGTAATTAGCAGATGATAACTATCGTGACACTGATACCAAAAGGTGTTCATGAATTTCATGGAATTCTTCGGGTAACAAGAATATCTTATTTAACGACGACGTTGGGAATAATTAATGGTCACCGATAGAATTTGCAGAGTTATCAAACACAGGATGCCAAAAGGAATGGTGAATATTTAACCGGTTCGATTTCCGTTCAATATTTACTAACGACTATCAAAATATTGGCCGTCACGTTCTGGCAAACGATCCTTCATTGTTTTAAACAGCACGTCGAACAATGTCCCATTCACATCGCGATAAACATTGAAATATCACGTTAACAGTTATGGTTATATAACAGGATGGTACTTGAAGAACGTCCCTTTTAAATCAAAGGAACTTTTATAAATTTCAATCTTTTTTTCTTTAAATTTAATGTACCTTCAACATTTTAATTGGAGTAAAAACTCACACTGTGTTTTATTATTAAAACTGTAATTTTGTGGAAATGAACATAGAAATTACAGAACACACAAGATTATTCCAAGATCGAAACTCCGTTACTTCACCGATTAACGAGAAACTTAACGAACAAAAATCAAAGGCGCCATAGTAACACCAGTGTCCAAGAGAAAAGAAATTAAATGCTTAATCGAAAATCCTTCGAATTGAAACTTTACAAACACCAATGAATTAAACACACTTGGGACCCGCGCCTTCGATCTTCGTTCTCGAGAAACATTTAACAAATCACTCACCGATGCAGACGAAGAGCGCGGCGAAGAAAATCGGCGGGAAAAGCCTCGAGGAGGAAAACATTGTGCCGACCGGTACCGAGCTGGTACTGCGAGAAGAAGTCCGTCAGTTCGTGTCGAGGATACTTCCGGGAGCCAGGAGCCGCCCAGAGGGGCGGGACCAACGAAGCCCCTCCGAAACGAAATAAACAGAAGGAAAAAAGGCACTTTATGGTGCACCGACTTTGAATTTATTTCTCTTTCAATATCTCCTCAATCTTCTTCTCTCTTCCCGCAGAAGAAGATCTCAAGTTTGTCCCGTTGGATCACGAACGATTGCGAGATCCAGGATTCAAAAAAAAAAGGAGCGTCTTTCGTGTTTTCCTCAAGATGTGAAATATTCTATTTCTTTTTTCTCTTTTATATTCTTCAACAATTATTCGCACGAGTTTATGTTAGAAATTTTCTTGGTCGGGATGCACGAATTCGATCGCGAGGGACGTTTGATTGCGGTGATACGAAAAGGCGCGTCCTCACGCGTACGTCTGGTGCGGCGTCGCCGTCGGACTGACTTTCTACGTTACGCTGCAGCAGTGGCGACGCGGCGTGACGCGGCGCCGAGAGGTAGAGCGCGTCGCGTCGCGTCGTCGCGCGCGCTTATCATCCGCACCTGTGTAACCCCTATGATTTTCCACAATGTGTGCGTCTATTTTACCCTCGAAATTCGACCTGCTTTCACGAACTCTAACAGCTGTAACTTCCGGTTTCCCGGCAGGAAAATCGAGAGTGTTAGCCGTCCCTCGTATCGTAACCTCTTTTCAGGAATTTAAATTAATTTCAGTCGCATAGAATGTGTATTCATTCTGTTACTTTCCTTTTTTGTTTTGAATAGATTGTTTAATTATATATATCAGTTACGCCCTCGATAAACTTTCTCTGGTTTCCTACGCTTCAACCACCCACACTAATCCGCTTTTATATTAATTATCAGCAATCCGATAACAGCACAATTATGCAATATTTAACACCGATTTGGGAACACATTATCCGACGAAGTTTTTTAATTATCATTTTATCGGTTTCCAGCAGAGATTTGCCCGTGTATCAGCTTTACGCAGACGCGAATAAAGCGTCCCTTTGTTTCCTGTATCAGTGACGAAATTCCAATGGAATAATTGTGGGGCATAAAAAAAGCATCGAAGTTGTTAATTAAAAAAGTCAACGATGTTATAACGCGTGACATTCTGTCCGGGGTTTGAAGCTTTTCCAAACATTTATTAAATTTCATAACTTCTTTCGAATCGATACATAGATTGATGTTATGAGAATTTAAGAAAAATGAAGGACTTTCAACGGAGGAATTGAATATCATTTCTCCTATGCGGTTAGAAATGGCTTTAATTTTCCTGCATACGTTGATGTCCCGCGTTTACATATCGAGTTGCATCAGCGTTATTGCAGTACGCATTCACGCTGCAGTTATCGGTGGCCAGCGTGAATACACTATGCGCGACTATGCATTATACGCAGGCAACATTGCGCCATCCGGCATCAATCATGGGATTTCCTGCAGGTGAACGTGATCGAAGATTTCTACCTTCGATGCGTATCAATTTGTTATCAATTCCAATCATTTTCTTTTTAGAAAATGGAACTAATCATTAGTTGCATATAAACACTTGCGGTCAATTGTAAATGGTCGAATAATTAAAACGATAGAAAAATATTATTTTCAATATTCTTTTAAAACGACGTTCAATGGAAGAATAGAGGAAGATCAGAAACGAAAATCAGAAAACAAATTAACTGAACAACAATTCAAAATTTGGCTCCCGAATGTGGGAGTGCTCAAGATTTTCAAAAGGTTTTTTTCCATCAGAAAAAATTGAGAAATTAAATTAAATTGTGGAATTTCTACGATACACGTCGAGTTAAAAATTTGTAATTTGATGATATTGTTTGTAAAATACTTGTGTAAGAGAAAATACGAAGCACTCGATCGTTGTGAATCGATGTAGAAGAAGGTCGTTAACGATGAACGATAGATCGAACGTATTTAATGAAAGTTCACTTTTCTCGCAGCCGGCTAATTAACGGATCAGTTGGTTCGCCATGAATATTCCAACGAACGAGAAATATTTTTGCGCGGCACCGGTGACGGAAAGCTCGGTCAATGTTTGAGAACCGACTGTTTGATCAGGCAAATCCGTCGAATTCGGCCTAGCCGATGTAATTAATTCGCGAAAAGACGAAGATACGAGTCTCGTCTACGTTTAGACCGCAAAAATCCTCTGCTTTCTCGCTTGCACGACTCGGCAAACATATGTGCGAGCGGAAATTCAATTGGCACCAAGCCCTTCATGGAACGAAACGACATACCTGTTTCCTGTTACTCATTTTCTTTCGTTAGTTTTATTGAACTCCCTTGCACAATAATTTGTTAATACATCATATTATAATTTAATGAAAACCTTTCTTTATGTTTCAAAATATTTAGCTTCGAAGACATAAATTGAAATGTCGTTTTAATACAGTAATTTCACGTAGAAAAATGATCTACTTTGCAATGCAAGTACGTTCGTGTTCATTTGAAATAAACAATGATACGCGTTATTATTATTAAATTGATAGTATATTCACTGCGATAATCCTTGCTCTGTGATGCCACCTGATGGTATAATTTAATAGTTATCAACTATTAAACCAATCTACGTTCACAGAGAATCATTCATGGATTAGACACGCTAATTAGCATTAAATCATTCTGCTTAACCCTTTGACTACGGGCCATTTGAACGCTACAGACACGATGTCTGTGCTTCGAGCTATAACAGTAATTGATGATTTGAAGATTTCGAAAATTTTTAGAATTCTAATAAAATTCAAAATAATTGAAAGATGAAAAATTTGCAAGGAAAAATATCAACTTATCAATAACTGTATCATGGATAATTGCTTCTGCTATATTTATTATTTTGATCGAGTCATTGATTGAATGAATTATTAATTACCTTCCACTCGATAACACCCGGCATCAAAATATCTATTAATTAGCTTCGCTCAGCAGCAAATAAATAATGCTATTCTGTACATAATCGTTGCACAGTTGCATCGTATAAACCGGTGTTTACACGTAACGAGGAAAGAAAAGTGAAGAAAGGAGGGAAAATTGGATGAAAAGTAAAAGAGGGGTGATCGATTGGAAGGAAAGGAAAACGCGAGAAAAGTAGGGGATAGTGAATGCAACCGGCACGCTCGATGCTACTTTGAGAGGCTCCTATAGAATTCTACGGCGAAATGCCTCGCAGCATTCCAACAAACAGCAACAGCCCTCGTCCCTTTCTGTCGGTGAACTTATCGCGAGCCCCTATTCTCTCCTTTATTTAACCCCTCCGTTCTGACCCACATGGACGCCGACTTATATCTGCTTCCAATTAAAAGAACGGAATTGGATCGCGTTAAAAAAAGCCGAAAGGAAGCGACGCTGACCCCTCCTCCCTGCCGTTCCTGGATCGAGAGAAAAATCCGTGGCAGAGGGTGGAAGGTTCTTTCAAAGCTGACCGAACCTCTGCCAACCACCCCTTCGACCCTCCACGACCAACTTATCCCTGATTTCTCGCGTACACGATAGATTTTATATTTGTTACACTACTTTGCATCTCGTACAATAGCCTGCTAATTGCAACACCATCCATCGCAACACCGACACCGTGATGCAATTACCGAACACATGGAGCTGGACCAGCAATCGTAATGTTTGAATTACGGAAAGGTTAATGTGTCTACGCGTAAACAGAGACTGTGTCCCCTGTTTGCTAGGCAATTTAGGACATGGACTCGAGGAAGAGAACCTTAAGTGTTCTCTCTGGCAAGAACGGACTCTGTTTAGAAAGCAGATGTACTGACTCGTCTTGCTGCGGGGGATGAGTTACGGGAATTACGAGAGATTTCGTGTTTGCCAGGAATAAACAGTAGCGATATGTATTTGCGATAAAAAGGAATAGAAAAAAATGTAATGTTCGATTAGTAAATTTAGATGATTATATTTTATTTTGGGTCTGATCTTTGGGATATAGGATTAAGTTAACTTATGGAAAGGTACTGATAGAAAAATTTCTGATTCATGGAGATGAAAATATATAGCATTTTTGAATTCCTATTCCTAATTGGCAGACTCCGATTGAAACGCTCTTTTTAAAATAACACCGCCAGAAAAATTATCCTCCTATCGCCATCTAACGATACTTTGATCAAGAAAATAAGCTATGTCGGTATATTATCAACAACATGCTGACAACCTTTTGTACAGTACCGAGAATGGTAGACTTCCTCGGGGAAAATGATCCCGTTTTTCCTAGAGAAGACTACGATGGTAACACTGTATGGAGAACTATCCAGATAAACGCCACCCGAATGAAGAAGTAACTTCACGTTACAATATAGACACAAAGGTGTATTGTGTATTACGATTATTGACGGTATTATAGTGTACGTTCACTATACAATGTGATTGTACACGCTCGTGTATTTCGCATTATCTATCGTGTGGTGTCGCATCATTGTATTTTTGAAACAAAAATGGAGAATGTAGGGAAGATTACCCTAGTATGGGGTAGACAAAAGATCGAAATCCCAGATGTAAATCTTGGCGATACCGTGCGAGGTCTGAAAGAACGAATACACAAGGAAACTGGCATACTTCCGGAACGTCAGAAATTACTGAACCTGAAAACCAAAGGTTATGTTTTGAACTGTTTTCACCGTCTTTTCACTTCTTATTTTCTTTTCTAGCATAACTTGGACACTTGTATTGTTGCTGATTAATACTAGAATTACGTTTAAGCAACGTTTTTCTTTTCTTAAATCTGTTTCTTTAAGAGACTTGTTAGATTTAGCATCTCTTAACAGAATCAGTTAAAGTCCCTGAAGTGTCTATAGTATCTTTCTTTTCACCAGACAAAGCATCACAAGATGAGGAGATCTTAAGGAACTTGGGCATGAAGCCTGGCTTTAAGCTTATGTTGATGGGTTCTCGCGAGGAGGACATTGCAGAAGCTTGTCACGCACCGAAGGATATGCCTGATGTGATCAATGATTTCAAGGTGGAAGAGGAAGAAATAGAAATTGAGAATGTAAAAATATGTATGTTTCAAATCCAATGTAGAATCAATTACTACAAATTCGTAGAATTGAATCCATTCAGAGAAGGAAAGAAACTATTGGTACTTGACATAGACTATACAATTTTTGACCACAAGTCAACAGCAGAAACTGGTGCAGAATTAATGCGGCCTTTCCTCCACCAGTTTCTGACATTGGCTTATCCCTATTATGACATTGTAATTTGGTCTGCAACCAGTATGAAATGGATCAATGAAAAGATGAAAGTGCTTGGGGTCTCTAACAACCCTTATTACAAAATAGCATGTCATCTTGATTCAAATGCTATGATCAATGTTCATACATCAAAGTATGGTACAATCACAGCAAAACCTCTTGCCATTATATGGGGAAAATATAAACAATTCTCTGCTAAAAACACAATAATGTTCGATGACATTAGGAGAAATTTCATCATGAATCCACAGTCAGGACTAAAAATAAAACCATTCAGGCATGCACACATCACCAGAAGAAAAGACAAGGAGCTATTGAAACTATCTCAGTATTTAAGACTAATAGCTAAGGTTGATGACTTTGAAACTCTGAATCACAGAAAATGGCAAGAATACATAATTGATAAGACTAAAGAAGAAAAAAGAAATAGGGAAGAAAGTGAAGGACGAAGCGAGTAAATTTTTTTTTAACAGTGTTAAATATTTGTTAAATTTTATCAATTCTTTCCACTTATGAGGACAAATCTAAAGTTCATCATCAACTATCATAACTATATCGAAATTCTCTACAAAGAAGAACATGTAAAAAAGAATACATCTTTCAAATATTCTTCCATGATTAATACACAATAATATTAATGATAATGTTAACTAATCATTATTCGCATATTTTCACACGCTTCTTTGTATGTATGATGTACTTATCAGTTATATTGTGAAACATATACAAAGTATGTAATCACAAATTATCGAAATAAAATCTTATGTATTTCAAGTAATCATGTGTTTGCTTCCCTTTCCCAAATATTCATTTTTTCCAATGTAACAATTAAATAAAAAAGATAGGGGTACGAAACATGTAGGGTATATTTAAAATTGCAGTTTTATCATGTATCGAATGGAACCTTTATGGGTTAAAAAAGAATTAATATCAAAATGTACATGTATAATTAATTTTCTATCTGATCGCCATCTACTCTTTGATCGAAAGTATAGTCAGCAAAACCCAGTTCATTGTTAGTTTCATGTACGAGCAAGATGGCGAAGTGTCCGTCATAGGCGGACGTTCGTTAAAAGAGTTGACGTTACTCATGCTGCGTAGAAATCATTGTTTCTCGGAAAAATTGAAAGCATGGAATTGTTCCGTACTGACACTCATTTCATTTTCGTGAAAGAAAGGCATAGCCTGTGGTGTGACAAGTTCTCGGGAGAATTCTCTGCTAAATCGGGTGGGTACACAGAAGCGTTTGACAAATGCACACAAAGCCGTGTCAAATATGTTACATGTTACGATTCTTTGTTCGGATTTTTAAATTTCTGAATTCTCTAAAAATTATAATCTAGACATTGTCGCGTTGCTTTATTTCATAAATCCAATTTCTTTTCTCGGTAACGTTTTATACTTTAGAAATGTTATATTAGCTCGTAATTAAATTACCTGTTATTAAAAATAATATAAGCTGAGGGAATACCTTGAATGGTAGTTGGTTGCATATAGTTTAGCAATAGCTATAGTTCATGAATTATGTAAATATGTGAAAGTCATATAATCAAGAATTAGATTGTATGGTTTAGAATTTTTATGATTTTCTAAGGTATTATTAGTTGCAAATTATTTTACAGATTGGGAATGGGCTTCCCCAAAAGATTTAGAATGTCTTGGAGTGTTTTATGGAATAGTTGGCAAAATAGAACAGCCATCTGTTCTGGAACCTCGTTTAATGTTGATCAAAGAAATCTCACCAGCTGGAGAATTATATGGAGGCCACATTGTATACAAGATTAAATCTATTGCATTTTTGCATATTGGCACAGAAAATAATGATATTGGACTTTTGCCATGCAAGAAACATCAGAATTTACCAAAGAAAAAAAGCCAGGGTGGCTTATTTGATGGACCACAGAAAGCAGCTTTTGCTAAAACATGGGGTACCATTAAAAGTGCAACAAGTACCATCAAAAATACCACTCAACAAGCTGCTGCACTTGCAACATCTCAGGTAACAAATGCCAAAAGAATGGAATCAATAAAAGAAATCTTATGATACTAACAAAAATGTTTATAGGTAAAATCTACAGTAACTAAGAAAAACATTCTTAAAGACAAGGAAAGATTTGAAAAGAGAATTCTGGAAGAATTGTGCAAAATTTTTACAGAAACAGATTCCTTTTATTTCTGTCAAACTGGTGACATTACTAATAGCCTACAGAGACTTTGCATTGCAGAACAACAGAAAAATGAAGAAGAATTAAATAAACCGCTTTGGCAAAGAGTAGATGACAGATTTTTCTGGAATAAACATATGCTACAAGATATAATCAATTTGAAAGTTAGGAACTTTCTAAATTACATTCATCTTATAACATACATGTTACTGAGGAAGTATTTTATTTTTGTAGACAGACAAAGCAACTTGTTGGATATTGCCAGTTATTCAAGGATATGTGCAAATAGAGAAATGCAAAGTAGAAGTGGGTATTGATGATCAGCCTCAACATGAAACCTTTAACTTAGCTATTATATCAAGGAGAAGCAGATTTCGTGCGGGCACGAGGTAACTATTTTTATGCATATTTATTTTACTAGTCTACTCATATGGACAAATATTTTTCTATTATCATAAAGATATAAAAGGCGAGGTGTCGATGACGAAGGCAAATGCGCAAATTATGTAGAAACAGAGCAACTAGTTTGGTACCATGATCACCAAGTATCTTTTGTACAAGTAAGAGGCAGTGTACCTGTATATTGGTCTCAACCTGGTTACAAATACAAGCCTCCACCGCGTATTGATAAAGGTAATTGATTGATAATCTTCCCATCGAAATTCATTGTATAAATATTTTATAACATTACAGATGAAGCAGAGACACAAGTTGCATTTGAAAAACACTTCAGCGAAGAACTTGCTTTGTACGGACCGATTTGCATTGTCAATCTCGTAGAGCAAACCGGGAAGGAGAAGATCATTTGGGAAACTTACAGTAATCATGTTCTTAATTACAATCATCCCGACATAACGTACACGAGTTTTGATTTCCACGAGTATTGGTAAGCATCCGGGCAAGGTTTGACCAAATTGAATGTTGAATTTTTGCTAAATGTTCTTTTCTATCTAACACAGTCGAGGAATGCATTTTGAAAACGTGTCTATTCTGGTCAATGCGTTAGCTACAGTATTGACAGACACGAAGTATTGTTGGCGCGATAAGCAAGGCACAATTTGCATGCAGAAGGGAGTGTTTCGGGTGAATTGCATAGATTGTTTAGATAGAACGAACGTGGTACAAACCGCTTTGGGTAAAGCTGTCATGGAAATGCAGTTTTCGAAGCTAGGTCTAATACCGCCAGACGGAACGTTACCGACAAATATCAGACAAACGTTTCAATTACTTTGGGCCAATAATGGCGATATTATCAGTAAACAGTATGCTGGTACAAACGCTCTGAAGGTTCGTACTTTGTACCAAATTGGATTATTCCATCAACTTAAAAATAACCTTACGAGCAAATTTTATTAGAACCCTGAATCTTCTGTCATACGGTTTCTTATTGCTTATAGGGAGATTATACAAGAACAGGGGAAAGAAAATTTACTGGTTTAATGAAAGATGGCATGAATTCTGCGAACAGGTACAATTGGACAGCAATTAAAATACGTGTCCCACAATACCATAGAACACTACTCTCATTCGCATATCCTTCACGATACATTACTTCATTATTATCGTTCATTATTCAAACCATTTCGCGAAATTATCTTTTTTGAACATTGTAGTTGTTTCTTGAAGACGATTAAATTGTTACGCGTTATTCGTACCGTCATGAATACCAAGAACCATCATTCAGTAGTATTTTTTTCTTTTACAATTTACAATTACTACTTGAATAATGATATCTCTGTACATACGTAAGTCCCTGACACTATCCTTTCATTTTCCCATAGATATTTTCAACAACACTTTATGGATGACATACGTCAAGCGGCAATAGATACCATGCTAGGGAATCCTAACGACGTTAATCAACTGAATACCGATTGGTCGCACTATTTACGCATCCTAGATTATTGCTGCGTTGAGTTGATACCCGCGAAACCACCAAATATAGAGCTTCAACTAGCTACTTATCCTGACTTTCTTTATGCCAGTGCTATGTATAATTTAGCAAGGTTCGTTCTTGGTTGCGTCTTTAAATTTTTCAAATCATCAAGACGCAAATAAACTTATTCTTTATTTATGTATCAAATAAACAGCAGGATAACAGAACTACGACTTCGTTTATTACAATCAATCTGATTTCGCTTTGCACGAGGAAGTTTCAGTTGCATGATAGGCGCTTGACTTACAATTTGAATTTAATCCTGAGAAAAATAAACCCCAATTTACTCTTACCCCTTTATCTTTACTACTATCACTACTTCTATCTCTTCTCTTTTTATTTCTTCGTCATTATAAGTTCAATGAAAACATTCAGAAGATTTCTATTTCTTTTCTTCCAGATACTATTTGAATCGTTTCAAAGATGTTTATAGGCAAGCTACAATTGATATGATGTTAGGGAACGCTGTAAGCGAGGAAGTATTTCTAGAGCGTACCGAAGAGGAAGACAACGCTGCTACAGCTGTTCATGTGAAATTGTTGATAGAGGATTGCAAGAAACTACTTATACCTGACCCTGAAGTTATTTTAGGCAGTTGGGGTCTTATAGATGCTGATCCTGTGTACGTTACACATTTCAATTTTCAGTTCTCACATGAAAATAGCTGCCTTCTTGTAAACGAATAATTTTCAACAGAACTGGTGATCCAACAGAAACAGAGATGGACACTATTTTAATATTGACACGCGACAGTTACTATATCGCTGACTACGATGACCAGATTGATAAAGTAACAAACTACCAAAGAGTTCCACTTGAAGACATCATATTGATTGAATTTGGCCAGCCAGAAAGTTCAGTCTCGCTCTTTAAAAATAAGCATTTCTACTGCATTAGAATAAATTATAAGATGGCCAACGAGTACGGCTATTTTCACATGTTTCGCAGTACAAACTTACGGTTTTTCAACAACATGGCCGTTGTTGTGAAAACCGAAGAGGAAAGTATAGGTATGACAGCTTGATGGATTTCTACTTGTTGAGCAGTGATAATCAAAGACATATATTTCAGAGTCCTTAAAAGCAATCTGCGAGGCTATTTCTGTAGCGATGGAAATAGCTGGCTTACCAAAGATTACCATAGCAATGAACGTCACGTTAGATAGACGAAAGAGTAAGTTAGTGAACAGTAGAGGATCTACTGGTCTACTGGATATATCATCCTTTCCGGAGTTGACCAGAAACGTTTCAGAGACTCAATTACTAGCTCTTAAAAGCGCAGGTATGATACTTTTAAAAGAATTAATGTTCGCTTGTGATTCAAAGGAATAATCTGTAAAATATTGTGCGATTGCAGGAACAAAAGCTTTAAGCAACATGTCTGAGCAATTTAGCAAATTAAATAAGTTAAGTCATAGCTTTAGTGCCAGGAAACCGATCGACTTAGCTAGAAGCATCGGAAGGAAGACTGAGACCTCATCGAAGCCTACTTTTACCGTTGGAAATAGAGACATTTCTGGGAAAGTACAAGGAAAACACCATAGCAGTAGTAGCAGTAGCGACGATGAAGATACAAAGATTTCAACTGTTCCTTTAGAGAAACCAGAAAATTTCCGTCACGATAAGAATTTGATGGAAGCTTACACTCCATCCATTGGTATCATAATGGGTGTGAAAAATTCTGATGTAATGAAAAACGACAATGACACCAATGATCAAAATTTATCGTTAAGACCAAATAAATTGTCTGAACAGTGTTCCATTGGAGAAGCACTGGCGGTTCCACAGCCTGGCTCTGGAACCAGCACTCTGAGTGCTTCTCCGCAAAGGACTGTGGCAACAACGCCGGAAATAAACGTGACTGGACCTTTAATCGAGGATAAGGAGAAATTAATTCCACCAACGACACTGAATCTTTCCAAGAATATTAGTCATTCAACTGGAGAAGTTGATAGCAAAATAATACTCAGCAGTATGGACGGTAACACGTTGCAAACTGATAGCAGGATGCAAGATAAGAAGAGGTCAACGTCCGAGCAAGATTTAACTCTGAACATCACATCATCTCAGAGTGAATCTGCTTTGAAATCTATTAAGACCAATCTTACTAATGTTACAAGTCCAGTGGCAACTACTGCCAAGGATATTCTATCGCCTTTCTCGAAATTCGCCAAAGGCATGCAAAATTTAGGGGCAAATTTAGATCCTAGAAAATTAAAGTCAGGGCAGGTAGGATTGTTGAAGAATCTCTCGGATCATCACATGGAACAACGTCAGAAGTTGGAAGAGAAATGGGGTTCGTGTCAATCTAAACTTATTGCTTTATAAAGTTTTTGAGGATAGTTTACAATCTATATGTGTCTGATAGAGTGATCATAATACATTGTTAAGGAGTACACAGCGAAAGCCAAACGATTCAAACACGAGTGCATTAGATAGTATATATAGATATGAGGATAAGAGTTTCCAACTGAACTTTATATTTAGCATTTTCCCGAGCATAGCGTTATAAGAGAATCATGTTTTCTTTTTATTATAATCTCAGTGCACACGTCTTTAAAACTATTTTATTAATTTCAACTTGAATTACTGCCAACATGCTAAAATATTGCATAAAGAAGAGAGTTTTAAGAATCTTCTCTATTGAAAATTACTTCTCAAAAGTACAATGTGGTCAATACTCAATCTACAGAAATCTATTTGGTGTGTCTATTTACAAATTTTCTATTATTCTACATGGAGAAAAAATGATCAGCTCTTGGCGCCTAAACGAACTTAAAAATGCTTTCGGCGTATTTATACAAAAGTTTCTCATCGCGACAGCCTTTGTATGGATTTTACGAAACAAGAATCTTAGTATTGCATTTAGATGCTAGATACCGTAATGGTGAATTTACCAAAACCAAATGTATGCTTTGTACGATGAAATTTAAACCTGGCATTCTTTGAAAGCTTCAGTGCTTGCTGCATAATCAAATTTTCTTAATTATTTTATTTACATGTAATATAAGTTATAATTATCATTTTTCCTATAAACGTTTAGATCAATGTGTATTTGTATATTTATAAATACGACGCTGAAAATCTATTTATGCAGCAAGTTCAATTACAGAAGCTTTGTAGTCAATTATGTATATATAAAAAAAATGATTTTAATGTAGTTTAATGAATAATTGCTAATTAATGTGAAAGTATGATGGCAAGATGAGAAAGGGAAACGTTTGTTTTTAGATATGTGTACAACATGCAAATTAGTATTGATAATTCTTAGTGAGATATATATCTAGAAACTGGAGAGCAAAAAGTTAGCAAATGAATCTTAAGAACTACTGTAATATGAAAGCTGATATAAGTTTGAGAGTTATTTTGGATATATGTACGACACAAACGTGCTTTGTTCGAAATGTTATATTCCTTTTCATATTGAATTCCAATTGAAACATATAAGTGATTCCATAAAAACAGACAAAAAAAAAACACAGTATTCATACAAATGCATAGTTGCAGTATTATGTATATTATATTTAACTGAATATATTTAAAAAATTGTGTATATGCAATATGCATCTAAATTATGAAAAAAAAAAAAATACACATTGTTATTTAATATTCTATGTATAACGATTTAGACCAAACAATATGAATTATGATTTTATATAGATAGTTAATCTCTTGTATATATCAGTAATTTAACTTTAATTATAGTGCTCTAAATATTTCATAGCTGCACAGACACATGGTAGAATTATTACAAGTAAGGTTTTTAGTGAATGTTTTTTCCAATTGCAAATGGATAGTCTGTGATATAATCTAGCAGAATAAACACAGCCTGAATAACAAAAATAAGAAAAAAAAAGAGGTGTGTTAATTCTGTAGATCGTTTAGAAATGCTTTAAAGTACACAAAAGATAAAGTTGTTTTCACTGCGTTAGTAAAATTTATTACAAGAGATTTACGTTTGTCCATTCATTCTAGGTAAATTAGCTTATTTTTTTAATGTAATTTTAACAACTTGTGAAATATTTATTTATTGATACAGTATTATAGCTATTGTTAAAAAAAAAAATGGAATCTATATTTTTGTTCCTTTTTTCATATTAAGATATTGTATGGTCCAATTAAAGTTGAACACTCGAATATTATAATATATATATTATTATCTGTATTTTTACAATAGCACATTCTAAACAATCATGACAAACAACGCACGAAAATGTTTAATAGCCTGTAGAGGCTTAAATTGCCTTATATATTAGCAGTTACATTTTTGAAAACATATGTATACATGTGATAAAGCAAGCAACATAGCAATTGTAGAAAAGATAAAGTTATAATAAAATGCAATGAACTAAATTTGAGGCATTTATATTGTATCCCAATGAAGTTCTGTTTTATATCGAAGTTTGGCAAAGATGGGGGTGTAAGTTCAGAAGAAGTAAAGAAGAGTAACTTATATCTTTTGATTAGGTACTAAAATTATTGTTAGTATAAACAATTATTACTTACATAGAAACACCAGTTCTGTATTGATTCAATTTCGACCAAACAGCAAGTTAATTATCACAATTATCACAGAAAACTACTCAAAACGCGGGACTAACAATATCCCTCACTATTCAAACTCGTTTTAATAGCAATGTTCGATACTTTCAGATACTATCGATTATTGTAAATGGCGGTCGTATCGTGAGAACTTTCGAACAACTTCACATCGATAGAACAAGCACGCGGTATATTTTGTACCCGTAAATGTTTTAAGCATGAGTGAAATAGTTATTTTCACAAATGAATATCCTATTAAATGGAAAATAACAAACTTCAATAACGATGTTTAATCCTTTATAGATAACTAATATTGACGTAACTAATTAGTCAATAATTTTCTTTTTATTTACTATCAAACATGGAGTGTATTTGGTCTGACCCTAGTAAACATCCTCAATGTCCACATGGTAATTTTATATAGAAGAACCTTTTATATTGTTGTAAAATGATGTAAAAAACGTTAAATTTTTCTAGGACCAACTTTGTTATTTGGTAAATACGAGAGTAATGAATTGAAGAAATTTTATATATGCTCGGCATGTCGCGATAGAAAAACATGCACATTTTATTTAAAAGAAGGAGACGAATTATCAAAAGATGAGAGAATAAAATGGGAACAAAAAAGAAAAGAATACGTTTCTCGATATAATCATAGATCGTTATATATACGTTTTAATGAAGTAATTTCTGTACCACAAGAACAAAGGTGTTATTGTTATACCTGTGAGCTATTAATATGCAAAAATGAAGAAAATAAACATAAAGACCATGAAATAAAGGAAGGTCTTACAGATTATCAGCTGAAGCATCCAACAGAAATTTTAAAACCTTTAACAGACTCTAGACAAGAAGCTCAATATTTTTTTACAAAGAAATCAACAGAAGATATAGTTAATATTCTTTTAAAACTTGGTGCCAAGCAAGTTCTTTGCATTTGTGCACCAAAAATTCATGAATATATTTCAGAGAAATACGAAAATACAATGTCCTCCCTTTTATTAGATTTTGATGGAAGATTTGTAAGTTTAAAGAGTTTCTAAAAATTTCTAACAAATTACTGAAAACTAATACTATCTTATGTTTTGGTTATTTTCAGCACAATTTCTTTGGACCATTAAATTATTGTTGGTATAATTTATTGAACAATCATTTCTTTAATAAAGGTGCTACTTATGTTTTCAAAGACTTTGTTATGCAAAATAAAGGAAGGGACACATATGTAGTCTGTGATCCCCCATTTGGTAGCAGGGTAGAACCAATATCATGGACTCTGAACAAAATTTCTGACCTTCATAAGAAATGGAATGATATAGAAGATGAAAAGGATTGCTTAAAAATTATGTTCATATTTCCATACTTTATGGAATCCATACTGAAACAAAAGAGTAATCCAGTTGATGTATCCGGAGGCTTGAAGGATTTGAAAATGACAGATTATAAAGTAGCTTATGAGAATCATGCATTATTTGTAACAAATTCTAAGACCACTAAGAAATTATCACCTATTAGGCTATTTACAAATGTACCACTACATTTAATAGAACTTCCCGAATCAGATGGTTACAAATATTGTAAGAGGTGTCAAAAATGGGTTTCCCAAGAAAACAAACATTGTAAGAAATGTAAAGAATGTACCTCCAAAAATGGTTTAACATATAAACATTGCAATGAATGTAACCGGTGTGTGAAACCTTCTTGGAAACATTGCAAAACTTGTGAAAGATGTTTGGTGGAAAAACATGTATGTGGTCAGAAACCAAAAGTTACAGGAAAATGTTTTAAGTGTAACAAACTTGGTATGACGGTTTTATATTAATAGTAATTGCTATATGATAATGTATAATATAACTCATTGTACTACTTTCAGGACATGTTGCAAAAGATTGCAATACTCATGAAGAGGATTTTTTAAGTAAAATAAAAACTAAGAAAGTTATAAAACGTAAGGCTAGCAGTGAAAAAGATGCAGTGAATAACATAAAGAAGAAAAAGTTTAATACTGTACATAAACCTGATGAAGAAGAAAAAGAAACACCTGTAACAACATCAAACAATCAAGTAAAGAAGTTGAAAGAAAAACTAAAGAAGATGACACCACAGCCCAAAGTGAAAACTTTAAAGAAATCTAAACTTTCAACATTAAAGAAGAAAAAGAAGTTGAATACCCAATCAAATGGAATTGTAAAGAAAAATATAAAGAAACAATCATAACTTAGTAATTGAAAATAAACATTATTGTAAAATACGATGTAATATGACGTAATCTTTATTAATGTATGTTCATTTGAAAAAATAGATAATTTTTAAATCGAATGTATTATTGCGTGTCTATTCGTATTCTAACCATACCTGAAAACTCAGTTTGGGTTGAGTCAAAGATGGCTGTTCCCTTAACGCGTTTTTCTTGGAGCGTTTTGAAAAAAAATCAGTTACAGTATAAACAATTATTAGCACTTTCATATCCAGCTCAATTTACGTATTCGTATAGGCATTCTTTTTCACACGAGAAGAATTTTCAAACTTTTGACAATACCGTTAAAAATGTCTTGCTCTGTACCGTTTTCTTCTCCGGTTTTGGTTATATTTTGTATAAATGGAAAGACAATTGTCAGAACCGAGTTAGCAGCTGGATGAATTCTATGTTTACAATACATGCTAAATCAGTTGCTTGGGATGGAAGTAATAACCGGAATAAGTACAATTTCATAGCTGATGTAGTAGAGATCTCAGCTCCTTCGGTAGTTCACATTGAAATTCAGAATAGTAAAACGTAAGTGCAAATGATATGCATAAAGAAAGTAAATATTAATAAGAAGACATACTTTCAAGCAATCAATAATGAGAAAACAGGTTTGATATTCCTACAGGGAAACCGTTCAAAATAAGTAATGGATCCGGTTTCATTGTTAAATCTGATGGATTAATATTAACAAATGCTCATGTTGTAACTAATAAGCCTAATACCACTGTTAAGGTAATAAATAGATTCATCTACATCCAAGGAATTTACATCAAAGATATTCTTCTAATAATTATTATATAATCTATTTCACAGGTAAGGCTTCATGATGGAAGTAATTATGTTGGTGTGGTAGAGGACATTGATATGCACTGTGATCTTGCAACTGTGCGAATTAATCAGGTTTATATATGTTACATATAATAATATTTATTACTATCTTTGTGTTTCTAGTTTCTGATCATAATTATTTCTTCTTTACATAGACTAATTTGCCAGCAATGAAGCTTGGCAGTTCCCAAAGTCTTAGGCCAGGAGAATTTGTAGTTGCCATTGGATCACCATTAACTTTAAGCAATACAATAACAAGCGGAGTAATAAGTAGTGTACACAGAGATAGTAAAGAACTTGGCCTGTATAACAAGCATATGGGTTATGTCCAAACAGATGCTGCAATCACTGTTAGTGTTCTACAGTTGTGTTAATCTATTTACATTGAACATATTTTAATTACCATTACTTTTTAGTTTGGTAACTCAGGTGGTCCATTAGTTAATTTGGACGGTGAAGCAATTGGGGTAAATGCAATGAAAGTAACATCCGGTATTTCCTTTGCAATACCTATTGATTATGCTAAGGAATTCTTAAAGAAAGCTGATATGCGCAGAAGCAAATCAGGTAACATAATAAACCATAACAAATACGCGATATAATAATAATCTAATTAATAAATATTGCATAAGGTATAAAAACCATGGCAGAAGAATACAAGGCGAAATATATTGGAGTCACGCTGCTTACTCTAACACCCGATCTGTTTTACGAATTGCAAAAGAAATTAAAAGGAATTCCAGATAACATCAGACACGGGGTTCTTATTTACAAAGTAATCGTGGGATCACCGGCTCATCTGTATGTTTCAGAAATTAATTCGTCCTATTCTAATCAACCAAATAACCAAAAATATACGTTCCAGGGGAGGTTTACAACCAGGTGATATTGTTACTCACGTGAACGAGGAACCAGTGATGACTTCTGCCAGCATCTACAAGGCGATAGAAACGTCCAAAGTCTTGAGATTGATAGTGATCAGAGGATATCAAGTGTTACATCTGAGAATCGAGCCAGAAGAACTGTAAATCACCACGCTGTAACGTTGCCGGCATTGAAATTCAAAGTTCAAAACACCATTGACACTATTTACATTTTTGTAGACAAATTTTCTGCTAAGTTTAACGCGTAGGAATAAAATGTCTTAGTCTCACGCAACATATGTACGCGTTATTGAACAATGACGGTTGATGTTTCAAATGTCCTTGCGTATGAATAACTTAACGACGAACGAAAAACTCAGCACTATCCGAGAAGATTTATTTCGATCGTTGGACTTATCGAAGGACCGATTATCCCGTCCGGTTTTTCTTTGCTTTTTCCCACCGTCCTGAAGACTAATGTTAGACGGGCTCCTTGTTACGATAGGGAACCTACCGAACACGTGTGCGTGCGTGTGTACGTCGGGTGTGGTCCACCGGCTCGACTGTATTATGTTTATGTTTACGACGCGAGGCGACCTCCGCAAATATGTGGCCGGATCTCAGGGAGCGTAGGTGTGGTTCACGAGACTTCCAGTATCTCTTTTATTTTTTTTTTTTAAGTATTTTACTGTCCGTAAACCCGTGCATCTTGCTGGAATCCTGGTCTACGTTTACACCGGTGCAGTAAGCTGTACGTTGCACGAATACGAGGCATTTTGACATTAACACCCGCAACAATGAGAATAAAAAGTTCGTTGTTGGGTTTCGTTAAGTAGGCGTTAGCTGAAGCTAAAACGCTTATTGTAAAAATTCAGAGGCGAAGACGCGAAGATTACGACGGTGTGAACGTACCTTCAGAAATATTTTCAAGGGTACCATAATACCTCGTTGCACCTTGAGATCCATGAAATAAGACGGTTCGACGATCCTCTCTGTAGGTACTTCGGACATAGAGCTCTGGACTTAATTCGCGTCAACGATAAATTGTAATTAATCTTTTCTAATAAGGAGAGATCGAAGTTGTTAAATTATTGTAAAAGATAATAATTTTTGCAGTTATTTGAATAAATGTAACTTGAAAATCAAGTTAAATCATTTGTAAAAAAAAAAAAAAGGAGAAGTGGATAGCACGAGGAAGGAAACCCACGGTGGTTCAGGTCGCAATTAATTTAGAAGATGCGTGGAATATACGCATCGGTTACGCGTCGTTCCACGCTTCTTCCAGCGATTATTGCCCATACATTGTCCCACCTTTCGCCTCCTTGTTGTTCCTTTATCGCGGAGGAACGCCTATTCCCTCTGATTATACACGCTTTCCACGTGTATCTTCGCCTACGAGGGAACGTTGTCACTTCCTACGTGCGTGGTTAGCCACGCTCGGTAGCTGGAGAACAAACGTGCATCAAGGTGATCGGCCGATGCGATATCTACGAACGGGTAAGACCCAGGATCGCCTACGCGGAGTTACACGTTAACTTTTCACCGGTCAGAAGCGAGGAATCTCCTTAAGGAACAGGGACGTGCTTCGTCTTTTAATGGATCTACCAAGAGCGAAGATCTTACCTTATCGGGTGTGTTTCATGGGAAAAAGAAACATTTTTATGAATCACAAAATAGATTTAGAATTTGTATGATTTAAAATAGATTTGAAATTTGAATAATTATTATAGATTGATATAGTCATTAAAGGCAGACTAGGCGGCCGCCCCCATAAGACGATTTTGCACCTAAGAATGCAAGAAGAGTAATTGTAAATGCAAATCTAAATTAGTTATACAAGCTCTAACGTCAATTTTATAAATTTTATTTGAACTACTTTTTTTTATGTCATATATGTGAAGGTACCCTTTTTCGGAGCTCGTCTCGGACCCCCGAAATCTCAGGGCCGTCCCTGTTTTGAAATTGCTTTCTTTTGATAAATTGAAATTCTTTCAAGTATACGTACACTTTCAATCTAAAATTCCACAAGGTTGTCGACGGAGCCTTACAGAAACCGCGCTGGCATCCTCCGTGTCCAAGGGACAGTGACAAATTATAATTCCTCCGGAAAGTGAGCAGGATTAAGTTCAGCACGCGACACGCGGCGGTACAATCACTTTTGTTCGATGATTTTTACGAGAAACATGTTCGCGCCCCGACGACTATGTACGTCCGGGTCAGTCGCGTCAAGGACGAGTCGATTTTGTCGCGGCAAGGGGAGGATTCCTGACCGGTGGATAAAAAAGCTGTGGCAGGCGAATAATTTCGCTTGTACACGCGGCGAACGATGCGTTCGATCAAGGTCGGCTCGAATTGTTGCCTGGAAAGGTAACAACGAAACGCAATCACCACTTCCATTGTATCAAAGGATCTATCGATCCTGCGGTAAGAAGCGAAATAAAGGGAGGAGTACAAGGCTTATCGCCTTGACGCTAATAAGCGACCAACAGTTGCTGAAGAATAAAGGATGAACCTTAATTTCATGGTCACGCCGTAGAACGCGGTTATATTTCAGGCTAATTAAATTAATATTGTACTGTGACATGAATAAAGAGATATATTTAAATTAATGATTAACTCTGATCGTTCACTGGAAACCTGATACTAATTGAAGATCTACCTACTGTCTTTGATAACAGTGTAATGAAATTAATTGATGGTTAATAAAATTTTTGTATAGGTACATTGGTGTTGAGATAATTGATGACACACCGTGTGCGTCTTATTAAGAAGAATTTAAACGACTTTAATTCAAGATGTTCATTGAAATGATAAAAGTCATTGTACATATCAAAGTACCTTCCAAGACTCTATATCTTCCAACCGGCTACTACCTGGAGACCATCCTCCCATGGTAACCCATACCCTATTACAGAAAACGCGTATCTAGTTCCAGCGTTCACGTGACGCGGTGAAAAAGGAGAAAATCGAGGAAACAGGGAAATAAAACGATTCGGAGAAGAAACGAGCCACGCGAAGGGCGTGGCGAAAGACGATTCTCGCGGATCCCGGATCCAGGGATCGAGGGATCCCGTCGCCGAGTATTCGGTGAACGTATCCGCTTGTCCTTCGACGATTCTGCTGGTTCCTGGTTCGAAGACACCGGTCGCTGGCTCGCTCGTCCCCTCCGCCATGTATATAAGTCAAAACGGGATCGGTAGCAAGGTGCACAGGCCGAACAGTCCTTCGACGAGCAAGGAGGTTCGAGCGGGAATACACACTTATCGTACGATGCAGTCTATGGTGAGTTCGATTTACTTCGTATACCCTTTATTCATGACGGGGGAAAAAAAGTGTTCGATGGCGAAGGGTCGATCGTTTCGGATTCCTTCATGATCGAATTTCTAGCTGGAGGGCGAAAGGTTTTACGACGCCTATTCTTCTCCTTTTCGTGGGTTGAATATTCCGAAGTTTTTGATAGACGAAGGATTTTGTATATTATATCGTTGACCGAGGATGACGAGTTAATTATTGGCACTTGACGATCCCTTTTCCCTGTTCCGAGATTCGTCTTAAAATTCAAACTCTGCTCGAAGACTTAGACTTAAACGAAATCAATTCCAAACACTCGGACAACGATCACCTCCGCGAGAGGTGCATCGGAAAAACTGTCCTGGTAGAGATTCGATCGGATTCGAATGGCGCGTTGAAAGTCAAACGAACGCCGGCTGAATACCGGCTCGAAATCAATGCCTCGGAGAACAGAGGGAGTCTTTTCAACCGCTTCTCGATCGCTTCTCTGTATCTCTGGTGGCCAGTGTGGCTGGCCGTTCGTCTCTTATTGGATCGTAAAGAGAGCTGGATCTCAGAGCTCATGCAAGTATAAAACGTCGGTCCTTCTTGAGCGACGAGAAATACCCCTTGCCATAAAATTCGACGATTCGTAGCCACCTTTGGTATCATCCAAGTAGCAATCTCGAAAGGATCCTCGATTTTATTATACGCATACGATATTTTGACTTTTCAGATTCCATTTTTCACGGTTCTGAGCCTGGTCTCGGCCAGCCGCCTGACCCTGCTACCATACGCCTACCTGTCATCACCGTTTCCGGTGTCCCATCACTTCCAGGACACGAGGACAGGCGTGCACGCTTACAGTTACGCGGGTGGTCCATCCGCCAAGGAGGAGATCAAGGACGCTGATGGAGTTCTAAGAGGATCTTACAGCTACATAGACGCGAATGGTATCCTCCAATCCGTCTTCTACGTCGCGGACGACGACGGTTTCCGCGTGGCAGCGACTAATCTACCTACAGACGAGAACGTGGAGGCTGAACAGTCTCACATTCTCCTAGCCAGGAGCGCGGATTCTGAGAAATCGAGTCGCAGAAGGCGCAGCATCGAGGAATCTCCTCAAAATCCTGGCCAGAAGGGCATCAAGGACAACGTCGATCAAGGAACGATCTCGAACTCAGCCCAGAAAGCGACGACAGCCTCCTCGTATCAACAGAACGGATCGCAAGGCGAATCGGATGAGAAACAGCCGATCGTAACGAGGAGCGTGATCCAGCCGGTGATCCTATCCGGCGATATCCCTCTGGCGACCTCGCATCAGAGTCAAGTTCAAGTTCACAACAACCAGCGTATCGATCTAACGCAGGATAAACCGGTTGAACGTCAGTTGATCCTTTCAGCTCCTGCCATATTGCAAAGTCTTCCAGTACTGACTCGTGTGCCTTCTTACCACGAGAACCGTATCGAACTGCACAAACAATTGGGCATAGAGGGATCCAAGCCTAAGGACGCGGTCAAAATCGACCCTGAACCCATCACCGTCGTCCCATCATCTTCTATCGGTGTTCCATTAACTTCTACGGTCATCGCGAAGGAGAGTGTTCCAGTTCTACCGGTCATCTCGAACGATCCTCTAGCAGTGATCCCAACTGGTCAGCTGGCAAGTTCTTCGGTCACCACGTCGATCTCCAGTCATGGAGTCAGTCAAATTCATGGACCATCCAGGGAAACCATCTCCATTCCAAATTTAATCGCTAAACCTTCCATCCCCGTTGCTACTCTGAGCAAGGCAGTTCCAATCTCTGGGCCTATCATCGGCAAGGAGGTTCTTCCAGTGGTTCCAATCGCTAAAGAAGGTAATCTAGCTACGGCAACGGTAACCACCTCCATTTCCAGCCACGGTGTCAGCCAGATTCATGGGAATTCGAAGATCGAGCCAACGCTGCTAGTCAAAACCACGCCGATCGCACAGATTCATTCCCTTCTCGACGTACCGATTTATCTGCATTAGATCGATGTCAT